AAACAAAGAGCTGTGCATAAACTATAGAAAATATTAGTTATCAATAACTAAAATCTATATATATGAAAGAAAGTCGTGTTAGTTACACTATTTATAACTCAAGAACGGCTTTACTGATATGCCTGAAAATTGGTGAGGAGGTAGCTTAGAGCCAGGAGACGGATATAGGATACTATTTATTCATTTTTTTTCGAATTTATACCTTGAAGAGGTGCTTATTATTTAACTTACCAATATTATAAATGCGAATGTTTAGATGGATGTGATGTGGATGGATTGATATTTTTTTTATATATCCACGCGGACGGAGTCGCGGGCGACAGCTAGTGGAATATAGACGCTTATTCAAAGAAAACGCAAACTGTTTGTACTCAACCTCGGATTTGTCAAGAATGATATATTGTGCCATGTCAAACTGTACTTATGTTTACTATTTTCTTAAAATAACCTCAAAAACTAAAATAAGAGCATTGTCAGTGACATTGAAGTATTATTAATTATTCAAATTGCATAATAATTTCAATAGAGTATACCATACCAAAACATTCAACATCATTCATTAACGATTCGTTTACGAAAACTGTGATTATAGAACAGAATATAGCAATATTATTAAATTTCGTATCAAATTAGCTTATTCAAAATTAAAAGAAACTATTCAACATAAAATATAATATTGACGATGAGTTTGATAGAACAATGAAATTAATTTAAAAACTTAAACCGCGTTAAACGCCATTTTTTTTAAATAATAAGATGGCAATCGAGAACGCGGCCACCCGAATACGCTGGAATAGTGAAGTAAACGCTGCCCATAGACATCCGCAATTGCGGATGCATTATGTGAGTTTAATCAAAGGAGGTTTTACATTTTAGCATTAAAATCATATTTCATAATGATATCGTCTGTCTCTTTCCTATCCTTATATTATAAATCATTTATTTAGCGAGTGAGCACTGAGCTACAAATCTTAAGTTACTCACGTGCCATTCCATATCGTTTATAGGAAAAAGAACTTTATCGTTAAGGAAATAAAGATGTATGTACTTTGACATGAAGTGAACAAAAGATCACTCCCTCACTTGCCATCTTTTACAACGAAACATGTCTTTGTTATTTTTTGTCTTTAAACACATGAAAACAATGAACCGCGTCTTTGTTAGTCTCAAGTCTGAAAAAGTTACATTTTCAAATTATTAAGTATTGTAAACAAAAACACATTGTTGTGTTCCATAAAACTCTTCACATCATCATCAGCTCACTATACGTCCCCACCGAGAGGCTCGGAGCCTACCCTAAGTTAAGGGTGATTAGGCCATAGTCAACCACGCTGGCCAAGTGCGGGTTGGTTGACTTCACACATATCTTTGAATTTCTTCTAAGATATGTGCAGGTTGCATCACGATGTTTTCCTTCACCGTAAGAACGTCGGATAAATGTACTTAAGTAAATCGGAAATCGAAAAACACATTGGTACATGGCGGGATTCGAACCCAGGACCTGCAGATTGCAAGTCGAGTGCTTGACCCCTGAGCCACCGACGCTCGAACTCGCCATAAAACTCTTACCAAAAAGAATTACTGTTTATTTTGAAAAGCTACTGCAGTCTAAAACTTTTTTAATTATTAAATCAATTTGGCTAAAGGTTAAACAATTTCGTAAGAAGCGATTTTATTTCATTACCATTATCAAAATAATTTTATTGCCGTGACGTAGACCGACACCATTAGTTGACCCACCGCATTTCATTCTATTTCTACTAAGGGCAAAACCAGACATTGCTTCCTCATTTATAAATAGTTGCCTTCGTTTCTGTGAATTGTTAAAACTACATTTGTGTTCTAGAACTACAAGCTCGTTCAAAAATAATT